AAGTCCATGGGGGTAAATCCCTATTATGGATAATGCTGTGTCCCTTTGTCTGTTCTCTAACAGCCTATTGCTGACCCTAAAAACCCAATGAAATATCATGCAGAATCTAAACTACAATATCACTGATAGGGTTGCAGCAATATGGGGATTTTTCTTGTAAATATGATGTAAAATATAGTAGGTGAATAAACAAACAAATTAGGACAGTGAGGTTCAGCACGTTACACAATTATCCATCTACTTCTTTTGAAAAAATAGCCCTGTATTTCTCGTTTTTAACCAGTGATCAAAAAAACAAAATCTTCTTAAATAGTGCAATTTTCTCCCACTGTGATGGTCTGTGCACAGAACACAGTCTAAACCCCATCGCTCCAGAGAATAACACTGTAGTTACTTATCATTAACTCAAAGACACAATCAGCCCCAAGCGATCCGGCTTCTCTTCATAACCTTTTGACATTGCTGCTGGGAAGGTAAATGAAAGAAGAAGTTAGACACTGAGAGGGGGAGTGGTGGGGAGACAAAAAGACTTATGAATAGTGCCAGGAAGTGGTAAGACCAAAAAAAAAATAACATCACAAAGTAGGCAGTTTTAACTTTTTCTTAAATACAGAAAATGATCACTCCCTGACTCTATATCATGTTATATATTATTAGCTCCGAGTTAATTGCATTGGAATAATAAACACTTTGAGTATTCTCAGTTGCAGCAGCTTTACACTGCGATTTTCCCCTCGGGTGTGCACTTGAGCCACGCACGGGTTAACATTTGCCCAGTGAGAATGGTTGGGATATTGCAACTCGGACAGGCCAGTCAGCAGAATGTTATGAATGGGCACAATGAAAAACCTCAAGTCCATGCTGTCCACCCAAGAATGTTTGCCTCCATGTAATGAACTTCTCTCTGTGTATAGAGTGAGGTTCCCCTTCTTTTTCTGTTTCTATTACCATCATGCTTTGAAGAAGGGGGGTAAAAAACACATTCTGAGAATTCAACATGGAAAATATTTTTCTGTCCATACTTTGAACTACCCCATGACTAGTACAATGATTTGGATAGTGGTGGAAATGAAATGGATTACTTGAAAAGGGGCGGTATGGGCTCTGCAAAACCTGGCCTCATTGCTCTTTGAGTGGACAAATGAGCGCAAGTGTTACTTGCATTCATGTGGAGGTGTACAGGAAGGCATTACAAAGTCTAACACGGGTGGGAAAATCTGGATCAGTGTATAATTTAGGGTTATCCTGTTAAGCATGTTTCATACATCTTGCCTCTAGGCATATTAGCAATTAGTATGCACACACATGCATGGAGTCTGCAAACACAGCAATGCTTTAAATAAGATGTCACTTGTGTATGTACTTCCAACAACGCAAACTCTGTATCAATAAGATGTTTGCATCACACTGGAATGAAAAAGGCTTGAGCATATATAAATAACATGCATACAGCCTGCAACTATGTAAAGAATAAGATTTGCAAAGCATTCGATTAAAAACCTTATGTGAAAGCCTCTCTCCTGTGCACCATGCTGTTAGAGGGAAGAGGGATGAGGAGAAAGTGGAACAGCTACAGTAATCTATCCAACTTCATTTCACCGGAGTGATTCTGCCTGGGGGTATGCACAAGTCATAATGCATTTGACAAACAGTCTCTCGCTAAAACAGGCATTTGCGAAGAAGTGGCCTTCAGCGCTGGTATACACAGCTGAGTGTACACTGAACAAATGAGCCTCCCACTCAGCCAGGAAAGATATAGAGAGGCTTCAAAAAGATTAGGAGAAATCTTGGGCGAAAAGTAAAGATGACTCACGGTGATTCTGCAAGTGCAGGACAATGAGAGTTGGAAAGAGTTGAGAAGAGCAACAGAGCCATGGGGCTCATAGCAAAATACAAATCAATGCTCTTCACATGTGTTGTTCTTTGCTTTGTTCCGAAATGTGGATGCTCAAGTTGTTGTATGAAGGATTTTACAATGAAATGTAAAGAAGCACATTAGCATTTTTGTCTTACATGATAGTTGCATGATTTTGTGTTTTGATTATGGTTTAAAAAAAATCTAAGCATCAAGTTCCTTACTCTCAATCACCTTTTGATTAAAGCATTTAGGAAAGTTGATGTTAAATGTGTAATTCCAGGAAAACCACTGCCTAAAAACAAAGGTCAAGTGCATTCATACAAGCAGATCTGGAGTATTGACTTATTCTGTCAGTGTGATTTATATTCCTGGCATAGCATCAATCAATCATCAGTCTGAATGCGGTCAAGCAGCTCAAACCAGTATCAGCTTACACATTCTTTACATTCCTCAATTATTAACCACTTCAGATAGAAGATATAATGAAGATAGGATCAACTATATGCACGCACACAGCACACAAAGACATAGAGATATACAATCATTTACACAAAACCTAACACCCACTCTCAGAAATAAATGTGTTTTTGAGTTTACACCTCTAACAGGAAGTGAAGGGCTTTTATATATAGTTGGTCCCACTTAGTGTTGTGCTCACTTCCTGACTGGTATGTTTAGTAAGTGAGTTTCATGTAGGTTCTACATATATGTTCTGCCTGGGTTAAGTGGAAATGATGGTCAATCATCACCTTCCAGGAAGCCTTGAGTAGCGGGGAGGGGGTTTGAGCTTGTTCATATCCTACTCTTACAATAGAAATGATCTATCACTGCAATTTGCATTTGTCTTTCCAATTTCTCTTAAACATTCAAACAAAAGGATTGAAAACCATGCACGCAATAGTTAGATTTAACTACATAAAGACAATGAAATAAAGAAATTGCTTATTTTGTATCACCTCTACAAGTGAACACCTGCACATGAACTGGCATTAGATCACATCCGCACTGCTAACACAATGCTATTCCAGGAGGTCAACTTCATCCCGCTTCTGAAATAAGACTGCCATAAATTAGAACTATTGCCAAAATGTCATATAAGGCTCCTGCATCATTATTCAACAGTTATGTGTAGCAGCAGCACAGTACAGATAATATGTCACTTTACTTCTTAGTCACAGCTGTTACTTTAGTAATGACAGTGTTATATGATTCTGTCCTTGAAACTCAAACCGGCTTCTTACCAGGCCAGCAACCTCTACCTCCTCTGAATTAGTACAGTGCGTTGTGTTAACACTACAAGACCTGAGACATGGCCTCCATCAGAGAGGGCCAGGTCCCACTGTGATCTCGAATATACATCTGCAGCTACTGTGTGTACTTGTGTGTGATATTATCACAAGGACAGGAAAACCCATCTGTGTGAGGTTATTTTACTAATTCTCACTTTATGATATGGGCTAATTTAAGTTGTAGTTTAAGATTCAATTCTTAATTAGGATCAGTTGGAATTTAAGAACTGAGGTTGATACTGCAGTAGGTTAGGAGGTGAAGGAATAACTATATGTAAAGTAGTCATGAGCTTTAATTCACACTTGTCTGTAAGTGACTGTATATGTGTGAGATTGCATATGAGTGTGTGTGTGTTGCATGTGTGCGTTCTTCATGCATACATACAGTGCAGGTGACTGTGTGTATGAACAAGGGAGATTAACAATTCAAATACTGTACTGTGCTATAAGGTTTCACTTTGTCATCAGCAAATGTTAACTGCCTGCTGGCTTCCCTCCAGGTGCTAAGGCCAGCAAACCTATTTGAGTGGCTCTGGGTATAATGCCTTCTCCTGCCTCTGCCCAGTACTTACTGTTTACACAAGTTTTACCTTGCCCACAAAAAGGAACTAGCTCTGTTGCTTGTGACTTGTAGTCTTGGATTTTATCTGGTTTGTACATTTGGCATATGTCTAAAACCTTTAACAGAAGAGCAAAGAGTCATCTGCACTTTTGCTGAGCATGAAAAGAGAGTTAACAATGAAAAGGTGTTCTCTGTGCAGTGAGTACCATGATTCAACAGAAATATCAATCATTGCATACTTGGGAAAACTTGACGATGTTTAGCTAGCCAGAAAAGACTTAAGCAAACCGATTTTATAGCACCTTGCTTCAAACTGAAGCTTGTGAGTCATAATCAGTTTATGGCGCCGATTCCCACTTCAAATTACTAATAAAACTGTCTCGGGTGCCGTAGATACGCAGGTGTAATTCACAACTTCTTTCCCGTGTTGATATAAACGCAAACATTTATGAATAATCCACTATGGGTGCTTTCTTGTTAGGTTATGAAAAATGAATGCCTATAAAGTTACTATATGGTTACGGGTTTGGCTGATCAGCTCGTGGCTGACTTATCTTCATGGAAACACTTTTCTCGTGCAATGAGACAAAATAAGACAAACTGGTAGACTGGCCAGTTACAGGTTGCACAATATATTCCTTACAGAATAAAAAAAAAATAGTCCAGAGCTATAACATTCGCATTTAGACGTAATCTTGGTAATTGTTTATTGGACTACCTGTGCATTGACCCATGTGGGAACCTGTGTGACGCAGATAAGGCATTGTATTTCTACAGTTAGGTCAGAAAGGTTTACGTTATACGGGGGGAAAATTTGTTATTCTACATATCATCATTAAAAACATCAGGCTCAGGTTTGTTCAGATAGGGCATTCGCTAATGTGCCCACTGCGGCCAGCAGTGCGCTGGAGAGTTACGCGCAACTCCACTCTCAGGACAGCTACGGCGAAACGTACCCATAATTTATCCAAGCGAAATTAAAGGGAAATCCACGTTTACGGGCTCAGAACAGGTGTCATGAGTGGTTTTCCGCGTGTTTATGTCTAGTATCACGTCAGAAATGCAACAAAGTTCATTGTCAACGCAGCCTCTAACCACAGACTCACTTATCTCAGAGTAGCGAAAAGTGCAGCACTTGTCTCTAATGGTCTTCCTAACACATTGCATGATCAAATTGTCAGTATGGTGCACCATTTGTAACCAATGTACTTCTGCGCGCGAGCACCATCGTCGCACTGAGGGATGCACATCTGACCGGCTATAAGCTCGTAAAGTAGAGATAACTGTTTACCTTGTTGGAGTGGTAATAGTCCAAACCGGAGTCAGTCGGTAATGTACATGAACCCACGCTTGAAGGGGGAGCTGGATAAAATCTGACGTCCATCTCAGAGTCCGCAAGACTGACGGCATGAAAGCGTAGCTCCAAAAACCTGTGCGACTTCTCTCTCTCTCCTGCGCACACACACACACAAACACATACACACACGCTTTTCTCGCGTGTATTAAACCGATCAAAAGTGGAGGAAGCAGACCGAGTCTCTCCAGTCGCTGGCTCTTCACACCCGTACTACACTTACTTCAGCACTGTCTATCTGGGCATTCTGTGCGATGGTGCTCTGATATAACATCCCTATAAAGTTCACTTGGACAGAGAGGAGCAGAGAGGGAAGGTGCCAGTGTCGGTATAAAAAAAAGAACGAAAAGAAAAGAAAAAAGAAAAGCGGTCAGTGAAGTTGTTTGTCAGCGAGCCGAGTCGGTCGTGGTGCAGGTAAAGATGCAGAAGTGCTCTTGTCGACGGTTTCTCCCAAAATGCCAGTGCTCCGTTCCCGGTTTCCAGACGCGCTGTTGCTTTGTCGTGTGAGAGCGCTCAAATCCATCCATTCGTTCCCGTGCACACTGTGGCTGCTAGGCTGCGACCTCTACCGGTTAGAGGAGCAACATGCGATAAGAGGGCCAGCGGAGTTGGGTGGACGGACAGGGAGCATGGTGAAGAATGAGCCCCCACAAACTGAGTTCAGGTTACCTCTCATTTACTGGGATAGAGGCAGCCTGTGCGTGAACACGAGAACCCCACAAGTCTGAATCCCAGGTATATGCTGATTATACTCATATAAGCTGAGTGTAATCAGTCTGATTTTAACAGCTGTAAACATTTTGTATCTGAGTGGTTTTTCTGAGAATGAACTGCGACAGTCATCATGATCTCACAGCCAACTCATAACCTTCTGTTGCATCTAGTCCGCACTTCACAGTAAACCAGTAGGAAAGTTGGATGAATAAATAATGTAGATGGAGTCTCATGCAGTGCAGTTCAGATTATTTACTTTAGTAAAATCAAAAGCATCATCACACTAAAAATACTGCATTACAAATAAAAGTCCTGGATGTGACTGTTACTTAGTTTTACTTACCTGTCATTTAAGTAAAAAAAACATATGTACATTTTCAATGTAAATATCATATAGTATCAGTGATGGAAACTCTTAAATAATAGTTATGTTGCTGTAAAATTTGTTGTAACTCTACAGCTACAAAATGAAACATTTAAAAGGAAAATCAAGGTTCAAGCTGTGTAGCTAGTTTTGTATGGGCCCTTATTATATTGCAGACAAGAAAATCTAACCTTGAAACCCTACAAGGTTCCCAATGTCACATTCTCCTGTGTTGCTTTATAATGGCACTGAGTGGACACTCATGAATGTACATTAAAACAGATAGGGGTGACACAGCTGAGAGTCAGTGCAAAATAACATTGCTTCCCTGAAAAGAGAAGTAATTTGTATAGTTTTCATCTAGTGTGTGATCTCCTTTTGGAGAGAACTGGAAAGCAACACAGTTTATAGCAAAAGGAGAAATATTAATTTTTGTATATTTGCATAAATGCATGAACTTGTGTTATGTTTTCCCTTGATACAACTTGTTATGACAAGTAATGCTGGCATAATTTAGACCATAAAGCTTATGTTTGGTGAACACTGTTCCACCTTCCCGACAGCTATTTTGGAAATTTACTTTTCATTCTATTTGATTTTGATATGTCCGCTAGTCAGTAGACAGTGGAAAACACAGAGTAGAGTCGGTAGCTGAGATAATATATTGCTACTGTCCTCCACTTTTGACCCTTGCACACACACACACACACACACACACACACACCTGGACAAACGCAAAACATATTCACTCAGCGGCCGACACAACAGGATGTAAACACAGAACAATGTCCAACCAGAGCTTCAAATAGGTGCAGAGAAGGAAAATAACATCACTCACAGCCAAACGTGTATCACGCTGTCTTTAAGAATAGGGTAGAATGGTGTTATGTGCTCACTGGTACATGAAAAAAGAAAGAAACATGCTATTAATGTGTTTTTGCAAGGCAGAGCAACATGTACTGTAAGTTATGCATCCCTACTAGTGTGTGCATTTCTTTTCTTTCTGTGTTGTTGTTGCATGTGTGGGAGGGTTTTTATGTACAAGTATACTGTAAGTGTGTGTTTGTGTTAACCAAGCTGCCATTGTCATCCCAGTGGGTGACTTGTTGGCCCCCTCAGGACTGTGCCTATGTCTGTGTAGCTATTACGCAGCATGGTGGCTCTGGCCCTGGGGTGTGAGCCTGCTTTAATACCAGGCACAGATGGGTCACACCACGGGTTTGCTGTGTCGGTCTGCCATCAGCTGCCAGCTCAGGCTGTCCTGACTCCAAGCTCATAAGGTTAACTGTCACAAGCATACTGTCTCCTTATACTGTAGTTTTGTGTCACTGTCTATCTGATTCTTCTCTGCCTGTCTCTCATTTATACTGTCACTTGTTCACTCAGTCTCTCAGTCACTGTTATAGAAGAGGGTGCAGTAGACAGTCGTATTTGGCATGAGTTGACTTATGGCTTCATGGGAAAGGAATGTGTGTAGTTTCTGTGTTGCAGCCCTTTATAACACAGAGTAGTGACCAGAAAGAAGGGGAATTATGCCAGAAAGAAACAAAAATGGGTTATGTAAAATAAAGGAGGGGTTGGAAGGAATTGTGTAAATGGAAAAATAAGGAAGGGGTGCAAGCAAGAGAAGGATGTTGGTAAAGACTGAGGCAGAGGGTGGAATTAGTTGTGGAGTGGAAGGGTGAAAAAGTAGGGACTCACATTGATGTAAATAAAAGGGAGATAAGACAAGGACAGAGGCAAAGTCATGCAAACTTTACCATTCAAGGGCAACTTGTTTCTGACGTAGGATGCAAATCATATTGTCTAACATACTATCATTAAATACATTCTTCCGCTCAGCACAATAAGCTGAACAAACACGTTTTATTGCCTTGGTAAGAGCCGCAGCCAGCATCAGGAAATGAGAGGAAAATATAAAACAGTAGTTTCCATTAAGGGTTACAACTCTCCCAGTACTTAGATCATGTCAGCAGTATTGGTTTTATAACTTTGTCAAAGCTTAAATGAGCTACTTTTTGAAAATTGAATATGAATTTTCCTTTTGTGGAAAGGTAGTGTTCATTTTTTTAAGTAAAGGAACTCAGCTCACTAATGTTCAGTGATGTTTTGTGCTGCTACAAGAGTAAGTTGCTTTGGAGAAAACATTAGTTTTTTAAACTGGTGTACTATTTCACCTAAAACAAAACATTTACTGACTAGTAGTACAAGACCCAGACAGCAACATTCTCTTCTCTTTCTACTCTGCCTCTTAGGTCTCCTTTCTTGCATTTAAATGGACTTTTAAATCCTCTTCCACGTGAAAATGTGCACTGATTACCAATGAGCGATAAACAACACAAAAAACTTTTTTCCTTTCATTTCAAGAGAAAGTGTGACTGGGTTTTTTTGCTCATTCCCTGACATTCTCTGTTTTATACCAACGCGTGTCATTAACCAGTGAGACAGTAGATTGGAGAAGTGAATAACTGAAGATTATGTCAATGAACACAAACATATCTTTATGGCTATGTTGCATTTATGTTAAAGAAACTGTAGGGTGAACAGAGATTTCCTTCAGCAAGCCACCTTTAGATGCTGCATATTTCAGTGGTCGTACTGTAGAATAAAGTCAGTACCTAAGTGGCCTTCTCCTCCTCCACATGACAGAATACACATTAGCCTACCCTCTCAACTGTAGCAAACAAGCAGAGTTATGTAAGTGTTATTTAGTGTCACTATAATAAGACCTTCATGGGAAGTGAAGCTCTCAAGGTGTAGTTTTGTCAGACATTGCAGGACTTTCATTGCTGGTCATCTTGTGTAAAATATTAATGCTTATGCGCTTGTAAAACACATTAAAGCTTTCAGGTTCAGAAATTACTGCTAAAAGTTTTATAGGTCAAATGACCTTTTTTTCAACCATCTGAGCAGTACATGGGTGTTTTTCACATGGATTTTTAATGTTTTTTTTTCCAGTTTAGCTCAAATTTGAAGTCCTAAATGGTGCTACCTTTCTCTCTGACTCAATTTAGCGCTAATGTAAATGTTGTAACAACATTGCCTTGCTCGACTGGCAGCAATTCCATATAAGGGTGTCTTGAGTACAGCAAACAGAAAAGCAATGGTAAACAGGAAATAGTTCAGTAGGTCCATTAAGCAGAGAGATGACTCATTAATGACCATAATTTACACAGAAAACACACTGTTTTCACAGTAATAAACACAAGCAGAAAATTTATGGAAAAAAATCAAACCTGTGGAAAAGACTCACCTCTGCGTTGATGTGTGTCATTGGTTTTCTGTGAATCACTTTGTGATGGTGCAGCTTCCAGAAATGCTTTGTAAATGCCATAATGAATGACTTTGACTTTGGTTCTCATACAATAAATTTCACATTATGTCTATTTGAGCTAAATTTCACAGGTACACAGGAGCCTAATTTTTTTATTTTCACATTTCCACTTGTCTTCCACTTGGAAAATATGTTGAATGAAAACTCTTGCATGTCAAGTGAATTCTGTTATCCTGTTCAATGCTACTATAAACATACATGTAAATGAAATAATAAAAACATTTTAAATGGGACTCTAAGAAAGTATTGTGAAGACAAACAATGAAACTGTTGATCTGACAGGGTTTAGTGCGACACAATTGTGGGTTAGCAAGTCATGCAATGGGCCCAGATGAAACATTCAGACTTTCTAGATGCAGCAAGTTAATGTTGCCTAAATCAGACACATATCTGACAGTCTTACAAAGGACACCATTGTTGTCTAGGGGTATTTTAACGCCAAGTGCTTCTGACTCCTAATAAATTATATTTGGTCCTCTATAAGCTCATATTTCTGTATGACATTTCAAAAAGGGGGCCAGTCTATAGCAAGTACAAAATGTACTGTACATGAAAACGCAAGCATTTTTAAATGACACAATATAAGACTAAGAATCATTTCCTGTCATAGATTCATCTGAACTAAAATGCGCAAATAAACTAAAACATATGGCAGTTCCAGAATATTAACAATGATGTGCCAAAGAATGCTTTGCAGAGTTTGCACTTCTCTTTACCAAAGCACAGTTGGTAAAATTCTGTGTGAGGCCATAGCAGACGCATCACAAAGGGCTATTCAATGGTGAACCTTTGCTAACCTTTTCTAGCCACTGACCTTCAATAATGAGACTATGTTGTCTCTTGTTCCTTTGGACAACTGGCCATTGAAACAACAGCCATTCATAGAGTCCGCTCCACCCTCTGTGTGGCCCTTTTTCATACTAGTAATTAGCTGTTATTGTATTTCCACCAGATACAAACCGATCACATACAATATTTGTTCTTCATATACAGATATATGACATTTTATTAGATGTCGATTGTAACTGATGGTTGATGAGCTCTGACTCGTCGCATTAGATGTGAAACAAACCAACCAACCAACAAACAAACCCTGTAATTAACCTTTGCAATTTTTGATTTTTACAAGTGGAGGTACCAATGCAAATGTGTCTCATGTGGAAACAATGACAAAATTTGTAGTTTTAACACCATAGGTTTGTTCTCTGAAAATGTTTTTTCTATTTGTTTTCACAGCCCCATCATCCTTTCATCCTCCCATTCCACTCCTGAATAAACCATCCTCTTCATCATCCTC